CTTTCCCTCTCTCTCCTGTTCTCGCTCATTAACTAAGAAAAAGAAAACTAGGTTTTCTTGAATGTCAGAATGCCAGATTCCAGTATAGGTTCACAAGCACAACCCAGACATGTACCAGGTCCCAAGGGCTGAAGCGATCAAAGTGAGGTGAATTATCTAAAATGGCAGAAGAAAGAATGCTTATTGCTATGATTTGAATGTTCATGTCTCCCTAAAATTCATGTTGAAACTTGAGACCCAATGAAATAGTACTTTTTAATGTTTATTTCATTGACATTATTAGAGTTATTTTAATTTGATATAGTGTGGGTGTGCTTGCTGGAGAGAAAGAGAGGGAGAGAAAGTGAGAAAATATCACCCCTGGGGGACTGACCATGCTGCAATTTCTTCTCCTCTGTTCTTCCCTCAGGATTCGAGGTATACAGGCTCACTCCCCGCCATGTTTTTTAAGTTGTTGGATATGGAACTCAGATTGTGCAGTCAACCATGTGGGATCCAGTTGCCTTAACCACCATGCCACCTGGCTGGCCCTATTTCATTTATTTATTCCATGAGTGAATACACACACATGTACATACATACACATATGTAAGAGAGGGAGAGACATAGAGATGACACCCTCCCTCCCAGAGTCCCCATGCCATAATCTACTTTAGCTCCAATCAGCCTTAGGTTATGGGCACACAGGCACCCAGGATGCCCAGGAAGATCTCTGGAAATGAACCTGCCATCTCCCCATGTGGACCAGCCTTTCAGAGTATTGTGTTTTACTGGAGTACCATTGGCCAGCCCCCAAATGTAATAATACATATATTTTTTTTTTGAGAGATTTTCCCTATAGGGCAGATGCACTCACCAAAAAAACAGAGACAGACAGAGAGACAGAAAGCGAGAAATCACCCCCCAGGGGAAATGGAACTGTGGTCAGCTACATGGGAATTCAGCGACATAGCCATTACGCTAACTGCTGGTCCCCCAAATGTAATAATATTAAGAGGTGGGGTCTTAAGGATGGAATTAGTGGCACCAGCAGTTAGCGTAATGGCTATGTCGCTGGACTCCTATGTAGTTGATCGCGGGTTGAGTCCCGGACGGGGATCGCGGTTTGAGTCCCGGACGGGGTGGCTTAAACTCACACCGGGCACGTGTGCATGCGTGCCCAAGATCCCAAGAGGAGAATAGAGGAGAAGGGATTGCGGCATGGCCATCCCCCTTGGGGGGTGATTTCTCGCTTTCTGTCTCTCTGTCTCTCTCTGTCTGTCTGGCGAGCGCATGCACCCTATAGCAAAAACCTCTCTCAAAAAAAAAATGGATGGAATTAGTAACCTTACAAAAGTGCTCTAGGGAATAAGTTCATCCCTCCTTGGCCCTTCTGCTTTCCATATGAGGATACAAGAAGGTGCCCTTTTGGAAACCAATAGCGGCCTTCACCAGACATCAGATCTGCTGGCACCTTAAACTTCCCAGCCTCCCAAGCTGTGAGAAATAAATTAAATTCCTATTCTCTATAAATTACCCAGTCTCAGGTATTGTTATAGAAGCACCAAAGAAGTTAGACACCAATCAAACTTTGTAGGGAATTCTAAATACCAAAAATTTAAAAATAATCTGTCTTAGGTCAGGTCCTCTAAGAAACAAAGACACCAAGAAAGAATGAGATGGGTGGGAAATGTGTTGGGGGACATGGCCCTCAAGGACAAAGGGGAGAAGAAGCAGAGTAGGTGGGGACCCTTTTGAAGAGCGGCAGGAAAGGAAAGAGGATTGTGGAGAGACTTCTGGATTTCAGTTCAGCCAGGTCAATGGCAAGTGCCCAGCAGGGAATGTCCATTAGAACACTCATGCACTGGGAAAAGATGACCCAGGTCTAGTGTCATTGTGCTCAACTATTGGCTTCAGGGTGAATGCTGGGCCAGGCCAGAAAATGCAGCAGCTAGACATGGTCAGCCTTCCATGTAACTCACAGCAGTTTCTTTGGAAGGGAGATCTGAGTGGCATACCACATGGCTACCCCTCGTGTCTGCACAGATACTTTCCCACATGTGTTCAAGGAGCGGGTCTCCCATGGATTTAGGGTCCTCTCTTCCTAGGGGAAACTTTGAGGAGGGAAGTTAGTAGGACAAACTATATCCTTACATGTTCAGCACAGTTTGGAACTGCAACTAGTATTCCTCTAAATCCTTCTTATTATCCACTATCCTCTGCCATATCTGAGAGTTTCTCAGGTGGTGTGACCCAAACCTTTATTCCTGAAGGATCTGATTCCTTGGCAATCATACCTTCTCAGGCCAACACGTTCATGCGATGGGCAATGGAGCACCAGGAGGTGCCCAAGTGGACCACATTGGGGGAATGCACTTCCTCCTGCTCTCCTGTATCCATTAGCCTGGCTAGGACGATAGCTCCCCTTCTTTCCTTCTGGTCACCGGACACAAGGAGTGCAAAATGCTCAGGGTGCAGCTATAGTTAGCAGTTGAGTGAAACCTTTGCCATCCTTGACAAGAGTGTACTCCTCTGGGAACAACAGTCCCACTCCCTCTGGGCTCAGAGTTCTGGGTACAGAAATAAAAATATGCTTCGGAAGGTCACTGGGAGTGATGGTAAGTGGGTCACAAGTGCTTTTACCCCTGGGTTCCTATACCCATGTATTCTTTCATTTGGCGACTCAGTGCCAGATAAGAGTTCTCTGATTTCATGCATGCATTGTGCCCCGAATCATGTCATCCTAGCCTTCAGAGCATTGCTTCTGAGCTGCAACTTCAGCCGTGCTCCAGTGAACAAGTCCAGAACTCCATTAGGCTGGCTACTTTGGCATGGTGGGGAATCAGTGGATTCCATGGTCAAGGGTCACTTCTGCACTTCTTTTACTTTAAAGTGGGCTCCTTGGTCAGATGCTGTGCTGTGTGGGATCCTATTTCTGTGAATCAGGCCTTTTATCAACTGTTGCATAGTATTGCTAGTGAGGTTCTTCAGACAGAAAAGGCACATCCAGACCTAGA